TAAGCTAGCATCTGCACAGCAAGTATTGCTGTTCTCACCAGATGCTACAGGTCTACAAGGAGAACTTGGAGGTGGATTGTAACACAAAACCCATTCAGGTCCATGGGGCCCTGAGGGAGTGACGCGGTGCTTCTTCCTGGAGGATCTGTGAGGAGGAGGGATTTCTAGGACTTTCTTGGAAGTTGGGAAGGAGAACATTTAAACTTGTGGGAATGGATTGAAAATATAGAAAGAGCCAGACAGTGGTGGTACACCCCTTTATCCCAGCACTCGGGAGGCAGAGCCAGGTGGATCTATGTGAGTTCGAGGCCAGCCTGGGTGTGTTCCAGGAAAGGTGCAAAGCTACACCTGTCTCGAAAAACCAAAAAAAAAGAAAAAAGAAAAAGAAAATATAGAAAGGAGCTGAAGAAGGGGGAGAAGGAAAGACAGGTAAGGAATATGGAAATAGACCATGAGGTGATTAGAAGGCCCTGGATGACATGGCATCCTGCAGAATTCCCATCCATGCTGCGGAGTGGACCATGAGATGAAGGTGAAGAGACAGGGTCCCCACAGGAAGCTGCTCTCCAGCATCAATAGAGCCGCCAACTGTGGGGCATTAGCAGGCTTCAGTCCTGATCCTAGAACACTTGAGACAGAACGCAGGACCTGATTTAGTGAATAATCTGTATAGTCCTGTGGGTTATGGTTTTCTATTAAGCTATCTGTGCTGCTAATAATTTAGCTGAAAGACATGTTAGATACAGCATTTGAGGAAAATGGAGTATCCATCTCAGGGGGTAATGACACTGTAAAACCTATATTATTTCTGCTGCAGAGCACAATTTTAAGCCTATGCTAATAGATTAAGCTGCTAGAGTGATCATTTTGAACAAAGAGAATGGTTAGAGCTGTACAGCCAACCTTTGTCTGCCTCGGATGGCTAAGGAGCAATAATTCTATCCTATCAATCTGTGACATGTGATACCATTAGTCACTGCCACGCTGCACCAGCCAAGGAAGAGCTCTAGACTCATTCATACAGACCAGGTCCAGCTTTTGCTACTTGTGAACTGCTCAACCTTAGATGGGTCACTGGACCCCCAGGAGCTTCATGGTCCCATTTGTGAAGAGGGAACAGATAGTATGTATGAGCAGTTGGGGTGAGGCTTGGGAAAGTACGCAGTAAACTGCAGACACTGGCAGCTGTTAACTTCTCCGGGAACAGGGCAGGAAGTGCATGGCTTACAGCAATGGCAGAAAAGCCCATAGATCAGGTGACTCTTAGAATGCTTGAGGAGCACACGCCGAGAAAGGCTCACGAGCCCCTTTTATAAGCATTCCATTTCCCCTGGCTCATTATGGAGCTGAGTGTGTGGGGCAGGTACACCAACAGACAGCAGGTGAACTCAGGGAGCCCCAAGTTAGCTTGACCTGTGCTTACCAAACACATGTCTGTGCTAGGACTTCAGGGAAATGCACAGTCAGCATCATCCACCACCTTGTCTGGTGACTTCATCCAACCAAATGTGATGTACCGTGCATGAGATATAGTACTGGTTTTGCTGGACAAAACCAACCTGGGGCTGGAAACTGAAGAAGATAAACAGATGGAGAGAGAGAGCTCTTAAGAGGACTTTAACACTTACAAAAGGTAGCAGATAAATAGATGTAAATGTTCAACAAGGTGGTAAGAGGGGAAGTTTAGATGGGGTGAGGCCTGGCCTTCTCAGAAACCTCTGCCTTGCCCTGTGAAATAGAGGCTCCGTCTATGTGTTGATGGCTAAGGCTCTTAGGTCTTAAGAGCTCATTGCAAACATTGCTTTAGACCTCAGCTGCCCCTTTCCCCAGGTTTCACACTGCCGTCCTGTGCACAGCCCTGTGTATCACGTGATCTCACCATGTCGTGATACATGATCCTGTCACACTTACCTGGAGCATGCTCTCTTTTTTACATAAGTGCAGTCCTGAGGACCTTAGTGTTCATCACCCGTCCCTTCCTTCCTCTGTAGTTTACCAGAGAAGGGAAGAGATGTGTAGCATGATCCTTCCCCCTTCCCAATCTCCTGTCAGGTATTGTCTTTCAAAGTGACAGAAGTCTGCATTTACCACTACAGTCTTGGTTCCTGCTGCATCTTCCAAGATAAACAAAATGGATATAAACAGTTAAAGAAAGGGAATAAGTGTTTTGGTTTATTTGAAAAACGGGCTAGATAGTTTTCCCTCAGAATAGCTTTGCAGCTTCTGAATTCTCCCAGTCTCCTTTTGATATCTGTGATCAGAATGCCCAGACTCCCCGCACAGGTTTCTTTTCCCCTGAGTCTCTAGGAACTGAACCTGCCCTACTTGTTCCTGCTCAGGCAGCTTCAGTAATTAAGCGGCTGAGCTGAGCGGCTGAGCTGAGACCCTCCAAGCTGGAGAGTCATGAATGGGCAGGAGGCCACTATCGTGCTGTCAGTCACAGGCCAGGAGAAGAGTCTGAAGTGTCATGAGTGGGAGCTTGTGTGACTGCCTTAGCAAGTTTTCCTCATCTCCTGGGTGTCCTTTTCCCTTCCCCCACCCTCCTGGAAACCCACCCCACACCTGCATGGGACCCAAAGTCATCTGTGATGTGGTCATGACTTGTTTTGTGCCGCCCCCATCCATCATCATCTCCTTGTGGTGCTGTCTTACCACACATCACAGCACCTGGGATCCAGTAGACCATCCTCTAACAAATATTGGACACTTGCTCTGTGCCGTGCATTGACCTTGGATCTTGGGAAATCACTGTGACAAGACAGACACTGTCCCTACCCTCCCATGGTTTATGTCTATCAGTAAAAGTAGCAGTTTTGTCAAATGACGTCAGTACAGGCCATCAGAAGGTATTTAAGAAACTGTTTTCTTAAATGGATGAAGAAATGAATTATTCAGAAGACAGTGGTACTAGGTATTGCCCACTTTGTAAACAGTTGCATTTCCTGTCTGCATGAGCGAAATCTTAAACTGTTGTGGCTTTGGCAGCTGGTTCTGCCGCCTCCTTGGGTCTGTGAGAGCTGAGCCTTAAGCTCCAGGCCCAGTCCCAAGGTGTGTCTAACCAGGAACTGCATTCAACCACACCAGCTCTAAGAAGTTGGCTTTTTTACGTAGCCTTTTATTTCTACTTAGTGTCCTGGCTGCCCAAGGGCTTGCTGTATGGCAGAGACTCTGAAAGGAGCCCTATCCATCTTTTGTTTTTCTTTTTGTTTTTTCTTTTCTTTTCCTTTTTTCCCCCCTCAGCTTTCTCAGGTCCTATGTGGAAATGTGGGCCCCACAATGGAATGCAAAAATGTACTAAGCCTTTTCTATTGAGCCACCAACCAGCTCCTGAATCATGACACAGAGACTTACTAGTTTTGAGTGCTTGGCCTAGCTCTCTTAACTGAAATGAACCTGTTTCTCTTTATCTACCTTTTGCCGTGGGGCTTTTGCTTTTCTTTCTTCTGTGTATTTTTTTTTACTGTTGAATTTATTTTTATTTTTTTTATTTTATTTTATTTTACAATACAATTCAATTCTACATATCAGCCATGGATTCCCTTGTTCTCCCCCCTCCCGTCCCCTCCCCTTCCCCCCAACCCATCCCCCATTCCCATCTCCTCTTCTCTGTATTTTTTCTTCATGGCTTCTGGCGTCGGCTGGCTCGCTAGTGGCTGCCTGGCCTCTTGCCCTGGGATGTGCCACTCATTCTCCTCTCATTCTTCTTTCCTTCCTCTCGGGCTTACATTTCCCCTCCTACTTATTCTCTCTGCCTGCCAGCCCAGCCTAGCCTTTCTCTGCCCTGCTATTGGCCATTCAGCTTTTCATTAGACCAATCAGGTGGCTTAGGCAGGCAAGGTGATACAGATGCAACACATCTTCACATAATTAATCACATCCTTACATCATTAAACAAATGCAGTATAGACAAAAGTAGCATACCTTTACACAGTTAAAATATTTCTCAGCATAAACAAATGTAACACATCTTTACATAGTTAAAATAATTTTCTACAACATATGATTCCCTCGGTGGTGTCCTGAGGTGGGCATGCTGGTTCCTCTTTCACTGAAAGGTAGGCCAAGGGTTGTAGAGGGTCTTGCCCGAGCTTCCCAGAAGTCCTGGAGCTGACAGTCACACCTGCTCAGTGCAGTGCAGGGCACACCCCCTTGCCACTCAGACCCCAGAAAGGATAGCTACTCCACCATCCCCCATGGGCCAGTGGGCGTATCCACCAGCCCCTGGCCTGTTTTGCAGTCCTTCCCTTAGTTACAATCCAGGCTCTCAACTCTTCCTAAATTTGTCTCCTATTTCTCTTCTTAGGTTAAAGATGGTTAGTATTAAATTTCAAATACCCCAGAGATGATAGTCAGGGACATGTTACCTTAGCATTGGTAAGAACTTGGCCTTACCTGGACTCTGCCATCTTAGAGCTACCAAGAAAGTCCTGGCTGTCAGAGTCAGCTAGTTCTCGCCTCTGTCCTTGCTCCCTGGCCACCCCTGCTCAGCTCTGTAGCAGCATGTATCTATAGGCAGGCCTCCAAAGAATGGACAGGCATCCACACTGATAGACAGACCCTGGGAACTGTAGCAGTCAAAGTAGGATTCCCAGAGTGGTAAAAATGGAGAGTCCAGGAAGAACCTAGCCACTTTGTCAATATCAATGAACCAGCTATATATTTTTAGGAGCCTTTTACCCTATATTGAGTGTTTGTGCACTCAGGAACCCCATGGTGCCTTCTAACCACCATGCTTTAGTGGCTCCACACCTGTGGATGTCTGAGGAGGCAGCTTGACATCAGGGTGGGAGTTTGGATTTGGGGTGTGGATTCTCCCATTTGCAGCATGGAAAAGACCCTGATCATGTCACTACCTGTCACGGAGTCTCATTCTCCTCTTCCATGGAAAGGGCCCAAGTCAATGCTGAAATTGATGAGAGGATTGTGTGCAGCTTCCAATGCCACCTTTGTGATCCTGACATTGCTGTTGGACCTGTGTCACCTTTCTCTTTCCCTCCCAGGTCACCGATGAGGAGCCCAGTTCCAACCACACTGTCATGATCCAGGAGACTCTGCAGCAGGCCTCCGTGGAGTTAGCCGAGCAACACCATCTGGTGGTGTCCTCTGATGACGTGGAGGGCATTGAGACAGTGACCGTGTACACACAAGGCGGGGAGGCCTCAGAGTTCATCGTGTATGTACAAGAGGCCGTTCAGCCCGTGGAGGAGCAGGTTGGGGAGCAGCCGGCCCCAGAACTCTAGAGGACCCTCGTCTCCTTCAGCAGCCTTGGCTTTGTGGGCACTGGGGACCACCTAACCTTGCCTACTGGCCCAGATGGTGTTCTCTACACTGTCCTTGTGTGAGCAAGGCCAGTGCATCACCAGCAATACAGAACCCCAATCCTCAGCACAAATCACACCCCTGTCCCAGCATCCTCTGTTTCCGGAAGACTTTTACATCAACTGTCCTGCCCTGCCCCTCCCTTGCTTCAGGATCCAGAGACTCCCATCCCCATCAGCATCTTCTTTGGTTACAGCCCCAGCCCTTTGCTCCCCAGCCTCACCCCAGGTGCTCCTCCTCCTCTGGGCCCTCTGTGCTGTCTGTGAAAGGGAGACAGACACCACACAGCAAGTGGCCTTACGTATTTGAAGTTAACCACTGGGTAGGGTGGGTAGGACCATCCAAGCGCTCTCCACTGAGCCCCACCCTCCTCAGTGCAGGAGCGCTGGGAACAAATGACTGACCCCCCCACTCCTCTATCACAAGGGCCCAGCTTGGAATTCTGTATGCTTTTAAAATAAATGCGTTTTCTCTCTTCACCTCTCATTCAGGGAGGTGGGAGAAATAAAAGCATTTTGTGCCTATTCCTCATCCTTCTTAGGGGGTGGTTTGCATTCCCTCGACCCAAGTCCCCTCTTCCCAGTGGAGCTGTGTACAGGGGTGCGGAGACAGGCACACAGACAGTGGCACTTCCTGCTGGCATCCCGGTTACCCCTCACCTCACCCCGCAGGACCCACTAGCACTTCAGCAGGAGGTCAAGCAATGTCTGGGCACCGGGAGATGAGAGAGTAGGTTGGCCTGGCCTCAGAGGAACAAAGGACCCTCTGTTGCATGCATTAGTGAGAAGCAGTGGCCTGTGAAAGGGCCGTAAGCCTTGCTGTGGGGTTATGGAGGGAGAGCAGCTGGGCTGGCCCCTGCCACCCGCTTACACTGGACAGTGGACAAAGAAAATTTCTACTTTGATCCAGGGTGAGGGTAGCTGCAAAGGGAAGGTGGGAAAGATTATCCATAAACCAGCTCCACACAGTGGGGGGAGGGGGCTCCTGAAGAGACTGGGGGTGGCCGTTTGATAGACTGAGGTGGGAGGGTCAGCCAGTGTTTGAGGAGCCTCCTGTCCAAACAAATGTCTCTAGATATGGCCAGCGACCAAAGTGGAGGCAGAGAATCTGTCCCCGGTCTGGTCCTGTCATCCTCACCCTCATCCAAGTGTCCTCAGCAAGTTGCTAGAGTTCTCCTCCAGGTTCAGTTACCTCTGAATGAGGATGATTGCTTATGGACAGACTCAAGTGGGTGCTGAACCTTGAGAGGCTTTGACCAAGGCAGAGACCTTGGCTCACACAGGAAGCATCCCTTGTTGTTTATATTCCTAGGGATAGGAGGAATATCAGACATCCTTCAGCTCTTCCCTGAGAAGGGTTTGATGAGAGAGAGAGAGAGAGAGAGAGAGAGAGAGAGAGAGAGAGAGATATGTGGATGTAACAGGAAGCTCTGGGGCATTCCACGCTGTAGGAGGCTGCTGTAGGAGGAGGCTGGTGGTTTCTGGCTGTCTATATCTTTGTGGACATCCAGGATGGGCAGAAGGGTGGATGCCTCACAACTTTGGACTGATTTTGTAAGACAGGTGGAACATGGCAGTGGTAATCAAGTATAGCCTTTTCCTACCTCTCCCTTTGGACCTCCTCACCACCATGGCTGTGTTAGATATTTTTTTTGGCCCAACTTGTATTTTATGTCTGTTTAAGATATAACTACGGGGTCTGGAGAGATGGCTTAACAGTTAAGCACACAAACTGCTCTTCTAGAGGTCCTGGTTTCAATTCCCCAGCACCCACATGGCAACTCACACCTGTCTGTAACTCGTTCCAGGGCGTCTGACACCCTCACACAGACATACATGCAGGCAAAACACCAATGGACATTAAATAAAAATAAATAACTTTGGAAGGCTGACTGGACCCTGCCTTCAGACTTCCTTTTCTGTTAGGTGTATGCTTGGCCAGATCTTGATGTGTTCCGACATTTTGTCTGCCCACTTCCTGTGACTCTGTAAGGTCAGACCACAGGTGCTTCCATGGTGCTCACCAGTGCCAGTGGCACAGCTGGGCTTTGTCTCAGCAGCAGCCCAGGGAATTGGGGCCAGCAGTAGAATTTTCGTGATGGGGAATGCTAGAACCGAGAAACCACTTGAGTCTGAATCTGCTACACGGTGCTAATAATGAGTTTGAACAAGAGCCAGTGGAAGAAGAGAAGAAGCCCATGACCAGTCTGAGACCAGACACAGACAAATCAGTCAAGAGTATCTGTGGTACCTGGGACTGGGCTACAGGAACAGTGTAGTGTTGAGCAAGCCTGGAAGCTTCTAGTTCTGTTCTCAGATGCCCCTGAAACTCTTCTGATGTCATCTACGCTGCCTGTCACTGTGCAGCCAGGACTTGTTCGCCAGGCTCACCTAAGCTGGCGTTTGGGCCAGACGGAAACAGCTCAATTTCCCTTCTCTGCAGGCATATGACTTTGGTTGGGCGAGCGCTTTCACTCCCTCACTGGTGCTTGGGGGTGATGAACTAGAGAGTGTCCTGAGGTACACACAGCTCCTGTTGCATGCCAGCCTGTGAGATGCTCACCATCCTGAGGTCAGTCCTCTCGATGGCACTGGGAAGGGTGAGTGTGCTTCCTTACATGGTGTGCGGACAAAGATGTCCATAGAATGAGAGTATGGGGAATAGTCTCCAGGGAAGAGCTCCCAAATTGCTTCTCTGTTAATGAGTGGTCAGCCCTAAAATCATATACATACAAGCAGCATTATATGAACTGAGCCGGGAACATGTGTATATTTAAAAACACGCACAATAATAATAACAAACACAATTAAGGAAATAGGGACCATGAATTTCAGAGAGAACAAATGGGGCATACCTGGGAAAGGTTGGAGAGAGGAAGGGAAAGGGGAAAATGACATAATTATATTTTAATTTCAAAAAATAATTTTTAAGAAAAAGAGCAGAGGAAACCCACTGAGTAATGCTTGATGAGCTCAGCATGCGTTGGGCAGAGGGCAACCCTGCTTCGCTGTGGACATGGTCTCCCACCTGGCTGAGGACCCTGAGCTGCATTGATCTGCATTTCATGCTTGGAGGTGACAGTGACTCATTTTTTAACCTGTATCTACAAGACTAATTTAGCAAATTAATTTCTCTTGTACCAGCTATTTAAAATTCATTAGCTTTTGTGGCTGACGACTTTCTCCTTGCTATTCGGATCTGTCTTTCAAAAAGGCTGGAGCAAAAAGACCATGTGGTGTTAAGCCCTCTTCCTGCCGTGTCCCTTTGAAAGGGTCCCAGTGAATTGTCTATGCTGTCCCTGGAAGCACCCTAGTGCTACATCAATCTTTCCCAAATGGTAATAATTTTAAGTCCTACAGGGATGTCTTTGGGAATCAATCAACTAATACTTTGCTGGAAAAGAAAAAAAAGGAGGGGGCTCTTCTGAGGGAACTTAACTTTCCATGTACCACAAAATTTTCTAAGTAAATTGTTTTGGAGTAAACCCAGCCCCCTTCTTAGCCATGACAAGGACATGTTTGGGTTTGATTTAAAAAATTCTCGTCTATCACTGTCACCATTCCGGCCCTAATTTAAAGCTTCGGTGACTTGTAGTAGTAGATAACAGTTGTTACACTTCCTGCGGGCTAAGAAAGCAACGACAGCTTGGTATATTAAACTACCACAAAACAGACAAAAGAGAAAAGGAAGGTCTATGGGGACAGAGGAGGCTGTGACAGGCCAGAGTTGCCTGGGGGAACTGGGTCCAGGACAGTAGTGCTTGTCACACAGTTCTTGGTCTTGATTCTTGTGCCCACACCTCTCTCCTAAGTGCTTCCAGTCATATCTGAGAGGCACAGACACTTGGACAGTAGCCCTGCCCTAAGGGTGCTGGTAAGGGTGAGCCACCTTTCAAGGGGCCCCTAGTGAGGAAACTACCCAACCCACTTTTTGCTTTGTTTTTCTCCCCAGCCATGACATATGCAATTTTCCTGTGCTCTGTGCTCTTACCATGATGTACTGTCTCACCACAGACACAAAGCCATGGGCCCATTCATCAGGTGCTGGAACACGCCCCCCACACACACACACACCCACACACACAAAGCTGGGAGCCAAATAAACTGTCCGAATTCTTATCTCAAGTATTGTGCTATAGTGACAGAAAGCTAACCCATTTGATGACATAAAGCCGCATTTTCATAGGAAGTGCCTTCAAATTGTGTCCTTCATGGCAAGAGGATGAATAGGCTCCTTTTACGTCTTTTCTAGAGAGCACTGACCCTCCCTGTCCATGTGGGCACAGGCTTTATGGCCTCATCACCACTTCCTAATAGCATCACTTTAAGAGTCCGGATTTCAAACTGGAATTCAATCACAGCAGTGAGTTATTTCACTACCAAACCAGTTCCAGAGATGAGAGTACATGGAAAGTTCATCACGTCACATCTTCCCCCGACCCCCACCCCCACATATATAGAAAGGAGAGACCATGTGAGGGGAATGTGAATGAACATACCATATCCATGTGCGGAGTGTTGGGGCTATCTGTGTTCTATGTATGCAAGCAGGCTCAGAGGACGGCAGACACAAGAGCAGCGAGCATGCAGATGTCCCCCTTTGGACCCACTGAGGAGCTGAGCATCCCACTGAGGGTCTGGGGAAGCCTTGCCCCTGCCATTTCATTCTCATACTGCCGTTAGTTCTTGCTGCTGCTGATCTTAACCACCTTTTGTCAGAACAGGACAAGGGAGACTTGGAGGAGGGCTTTAGAAAGCCACCCCCATGCCCCACTGCGAGAATCAGCCCTTCCCAGTGTGGGGCTCCACAGAGGTACAGCTGTTCTTCCTTTGGTATACATTGGGTATCAGGAGCCTCCAGAAGGAAAACATCCAGAGCCGTCGACACTGTTGATCTGGATGTCCGTTCCTGACCCTCCAAGATGTCACTACTAACCCCAAAGTGCCTTGTTTCTTTGCAGTGAGCAACAGTTTTATTGGAATATTTGCAAACCTAAGGCTCTTGTTCCCTCCATGCTTTTATATTCTCCAGTGCCAGACTTACCTTCTCATAGGAGCTGATCATGTGTTACCCAGAGGGACTGCTGTCTACAGAAGGGAACACTCCGAATAATCTGGCTCCCTCAGTGACTGTTTCTGCACTCTCGAACTGTACATATTTAGTGAAAGTAATTTCAGGTAGGTGAACTTGTGTGAGTAGGAGGCTGTGAATCAGAAACCCTTGGGTGGGAAGAGAGTTAAGTGTCTTGTACTTGCACCCAGCCCACTTAGCAGGGACCTTATCTATGGGAGGCTGGCCAGAAAGATGATCAGATCAGAACGCAGTGTGTACTCTGCTATCCACATTCAGTTCACCTAGACAATGTCTTAAGCTGCTCTCCAGAGGAAAGGATTCTGGATGAGCAGAAAGTAAAATTTGTATCCACCATCATGCTACTTTATCCATGAGGGGTGTTACAGGCCGAAGGAAGGGAAGAACTGCCCACTTGTGGAAGCCAGTGTGCTGGCACC